GAGAGTATAGTGAGGAGAGGTTTTTCGGGAGTTGTACTCCTAAGTATTTTATCGCTTTGTTTGTCCACTTGAAAGGGAATCGAGCTTTAAGAGAGTTTGCGTTGTGGGGGTCTATTCGTAAAGGGAGGATTTCACTTTTGGTGAAGTTCACTTTAAAGTTGGACACCACTTGGTATTGCTCTAACTCTTCCACTAAGGGGCCCATGGATGTAGTTGGGTCCATTATCGTGAATAACAGGTCATCTGCAAAAGCAGAAGCCTTATATTCTTGGTTGTTTATACGGAATCCGTATATGTCAGGGTTGTCTCTTACTCCTTGTAGGAACGGTTCTAGGATTAGTATGAAGAGTAATGGGGACAGGGGGCACCCCTGTCTTGTTCCATTGTATATTCGCACAGGTGGCGAAAGTTGGCCATTAATTCGAATTTTAGCGGTTGGGTTTGAATATATAGATTGGATCCACCGGATCCAATTTGGGCCGAGGCCCAACGCTGTCAGTGTGGCTAGGAGGAAAGCCCAATCCACTCGGTCAAATGCTTTTTCGGCATCGACCGAGAAGATGACTCTTTGCGTGGGGGTGTGTTGAGAAAAATGGATCAGGTTAAGTATTTTATTGGTGTTATGTTTAGCCTCTCTGTTTGGGACGAATCCTGATTGGTCTGAGTGTATGAGAAGTTGAAGGAGAGGACGTAGCCTGTTTGCTAAGATTTTCGTAAAAATCTTTAGGTCGATATTGATAAGGGATATGGGGCGGTAGCTTCCACAGTCGGTGGGATCTTTACCGGGTTTGGGGATTAGGGTAATGTGGGCTTCCAAGGCTGAGCCAGGCAGGGTGGTGTGTGTTGTTAAAGCATTGAATGCCGTTGTGAAGGGTACGCTCAATGTGGAGGCGAAGAGCTTGTAATATTTAGCTGTGAAGCCATCTGGTCCTGGACTCTTGCCCACTGGTAAATGCCTTACCGCTGCCCTAAACTCATCTGAAGTGATGGGTGCTTCCAAGGATTTAGCGTCTGCGGTAGGTATCGTACGCTTTATTCTGGACAATAGGAAGTTATCTTCTACTTCTTTGGGCGGTGATTTGTCCGACAGGTGATATAACGTTGAGTAGTAATCGTGAAAGGCTTTCATGATATCTGGGAGCATGGCGGTTAGTGTACCTGATGGTGTCTTTATATGGGATATGAATGTGTTTTGTCTTTTTTTCTTGAGTGCGTTAGCTAGGAGGCGGCCACATTTCCCCCCTTGTGTGTAGGAGTGTCTGGTGAGTAGTAATTTCCTCTTAACTGAGGCATTCAGGAGCTGTTGTAGTTTCGTGCGTCTGTCTGTCAGCTGTATGTAGAGGTCTATCGTATTATTGGTTTTGTGGGCAGTCTCCAAACGCCGTATTTCTTGCGTGAGTGTTTTAATTCTGAGTTCCCTGAGCTTTTTCTGCTTGGAGGCCAGCGCAATTATCTCGCCTCTTAGTACACACTTGTGTGCTTCCCATATTACCGTAGGGGACATATTCGGGTCAATGTTATCTAAAAAATAGTTTGTAAGTGTATCCCTTATTCTATTGGTGATTGTGGCGTCATTGAGTAATAAGTCATTTAGCTTCCAATGGAAAGATGTAAGTGGTAAGGAGGGGATCTGAATCTCCAGCGTTAAGGGCGCATGGTCCGACCATGTGATGGGACCATAACTACTTTTTTGTATGAGGTGTAAAAATCTGTGTGGCATGAAGAGCATATCTATCCTCGAGTAGGAGCCCGTTATGGGGGAGTAAAAGGAGAAGTCTCTGGATGTCGGGTGAAGTGTCCTCCAACAGTCATATAGTTGGGCGTCGTCTAGGAGTTTTTGAATCTGGCGTCGTCAGGGCCGTCTTTAACGCGGGGCAAACGGGGCAGCTGCCCCGGGCCCAGTTTCTCTTGGGGGGCCCGAGGCACCTGCCCCGTGGGCCCCGCTGACCCCGGGTGGCCGGTCGGGCAGGAAGGCGGGCGCGCGAGGGAGCACTCAGTGCTTCCTCTTCAGCTCCCTCGCGCACCGCACTGATACCGGAGCCGGAAGATGGCGTCATCTTCCGGCTCCGGCATCCCTAAGCAGCGCGCGAGGGAGCTGAAGAGGAAGCACACAGAGCAGAGAGCTCCCTCGCGCGCCCGCCTGCCCAGACAGCCCGCCCACCCAGGAGCCCAGCAGCACCACTGGACCCCAGGGAATCCCCCCAGCACTCCAATAGGTAAGGAGGCTGGGGGGATTACATTTAAAAAAAAATGTGTGTTTGTGTGTATGTGTGTGTTAGTGTGTGTGTGTATTTGTGTGTTAGTGTATGTGTGTGTTTGTGTGTTAGTGTATCTGTGTGTTAGTGTATGTGTGTGTTAGTGTATGTGTGTGTGTCAGCATGTCTGTGTGTGTGTGTCAGTATGTCTGTCTGTGTGTCAGTATATATGTGTGTATATCTGTGTGTGTCAGTATGTGTATGTGTCAGTATGTCTGTCAGTGCGTCAGTATGTCTGTTAGTGCATGTGTATGCATGTGTCAGTATATCTGTCTGTGTGTGTCAGTGTATGTGCCTGTGTGTGTGTGTCAGTATTTCTCAGTGTATGTGGGTGTCAGTATTTCTCAGTGTATGTGGGTGTCAGTATATCTGTCAGTGTGTGGGTGTCAGTATATCTGTCAGTGTGTGGGTGTCAGTATTTCTGTCAGTGTATGTGTGTCAGTATGTTGATCAGTGTATGTGTGTGTGTCAGTATGTCTGTATATGTGCCTGTGTCAGTATGTCTGTCAGTACGTCTACCAGTGTATGTGTCTGTGTGTGTGTCAATATATGTACCTGTGTCAGTATGTCTGTCAGTGTATGTGCCTGTTTATCTGTATGTAGTCAGTGTATGTATCTGTGTATCTGCTTGTGCGTCAGAGTGTGTACCTGTGCATCTGAGCCGCAACTTTAAATACAAATACACCCCTCCATCAACACTACATATAAAACACACTCCTGCATTGAAACGTCAACACTACATACAAGCACACTCCTACATTCAAAAACAAACACTACACATAAATGCACACTTGCATTCAAACTCTAGTACCACATACAAACACATTCACACAAACATACTCCATACAAACACATGCTTACATTCAAACATACTAACATGGCTCAGTGCTAAATACAACCCTGCAAGCATGGGAAATTGGTAGAGTCCCAGCTGTCAAAGCATTGTTGGAGTTGCACGACAGATGGGGTTCTACCTTTAGTCCAACCTTGCAATTGGGGGTCCCAATAAAATTCATTCTACTTTAGTACCGCCACTGCGTTGGGATGGATGCCGTGATTGCATACCAGGGAGTGAGGGGCGAGAGCGGCAGGGCACAGGGGGCCCAAGCAAACACTTGCCCAGGGTCCATTCGTTATTAAAGACGGCCCTGGGCGTCGTGTATGGGTTTGGTAGGTCTTTATTTGTGAAGTCGTGTCAAGGATGGAGTCGAGGGAGACATTTACATCACCCCCTGCTACTAATATTCCTTCTGTGAAATTTTCTATTCTACGTAGATATTTCCTGAGTGAGTTCCCTTGTTTCCTATTAGGTAAGTATAGGTTCGCGAAGGTTACCATATTGGAGCCTATTTGTCCCTTTACCATAAGTAGTCTCCCACTGTCGTCTGCCTCATGAGAATGATACGTAAAGGGAAGTTTTGCCGATATCAGTATCGCCACCCCTCTAGACTTAGCCTGTGTGTAGTCACTGAAGAAGCCATGGGGGTACCTATTGTCCCTTAGGGAGGGGGCATTATGTTTCCTAAAGTGGGTTTCCTGCAGGCTCTGAGCCGATGTAGCTCCATCAGGGTTTGTGTGCGCTTCTCCGGTATATTTAGTCCTCTTACATTGATCGTACATATCCGTATCTGCTGTGCAGGTGTGGCAGTCGTTGGTGTCTGTGCCATTGCTTTCAGTGGTCGTATATTAGTCAGCGGTATCTGTGTCGTGTAACAATTTCAATAATATATAACAACAAATGTGAATATGAAATAAAGAGAGAAAGTGAAAAGAACAATAACTATATACAGTTGCGATAATAACGTACCAGGTTTGGTAGTATTAAGTCAGTCGACGGTGTCTGACCCAGTCTAGGGGGGCCTATCTAGATGGGGTCCTTTTTGGCACCGCACAGTCAGTGGTTACCTGACTGTTGTCAGATGTTGGTCTGATACTTCTGGGGCATGTATAGCGTCTCTCAAATAGGCTATTTACCCGTCCGGTGGGGATGGACAGATGGGGGGGGGTTTTAGTCGCTATGGTTCCGAGTCCGGGAAAGGCCTCATCCACTCTATATTTGTTTTTGTCGTTAGTGGGCTTACGTATGCAAGGTAATATATATAATCAGTATCTGGGACAATGTCAGTAGCACCAGAAGTAGGCATTTAGCTGCTAAAACATATCAACAGTAATATAACAGACAATTCACATAAGTCATTAACATTCCCCAGGAGATTATCTCTCAGTGTCTCTTTACTCCCTGTGTGGCTAGCTCGTGCGAGCATGATGGAGAGTTTTGAGATTCCCAGGTAGCAGTGGGGTGGGGTATACATATGACCTTTCTATTGGAAATTGAATAAAAGTATCCAGCCCAGCGCGTCTAATCGGTCAGGTGGCGTCGGGGACACGGGCACCCAGCCGGATGGCCGCCTCCCCAAGACCCCATCATTCCTACAGAAATGTCATTCACGTGGCCATATGGGTGTTGCTGTTACTATGGCCCCTGGGCTTTAGCTAATGTCATCAGTGCATATGCATATTAAAAATACTTGCGGTTGTCGAACCTTACTATTTGAGAGATTGGATATAAGTATCCAGCCCAGAGCGTCTAACCGGTCAGGCGGCGTCGGGGACACGGGCACCCAGCCGGGTGGCCGCCTCCCCAAGACCCCATCATTCCTACAGAGATGTCATTCATGTGGCCATATGGGTGTTGTAGTTACTATGGCCTCTGGGCTTTAGCTAGTGTCATCAGTGCATATGCATATTAAAAATACTTGCGGTTGTAGAATGAGCTCGGTAGCGTTAGGGGATCCCCGTGGGGAAGAGGGGAGCCGCCCTCCCAAGGCCCCGCTACCCGTAGTAGTCCAATTGCTCACTGGGATGAGGAGCGTGAGGAATATTTTGCAGCAAAAATGCCAGCGGTCTTCTGAAGTCACTGTTCGTTCATGGTGTGCGTTGGTTTGGGAGCGTGGAGATCAGTACATATTTGTGTGGGCTCCCCGTGGCGTGGACGCCCTGGAGAGTGCTTGTTCTGGCCTCCGTCTTTTCGGCGTTTGTTGCCATCTTGTGCGTTGTTGTAGTGGTTCCCTCTGCAGTGGTTGTGGCAGTCCATACCAGTACTCTTGTGTCCGGTAAGTCCAGTGCTTGTAAAAAGACGGGGACATCATGAGTGGAGTTGATGGTAAATACTTTGCCTTGGTGGTTAACACTTAGCGCCAGGGGGAACCCCCATCGGTACCTGATGTTGCGTTGGCGTAGGATGTCTGTTATAGGTTTGAGAGTCCGTCTTGCCTGCAGCGTCAGCCAGGATAGGTCAGGGTAGATCGAGATTGGAGCATCTTTATATAGTAAAGGCTGGGAGGCTTGTCTTAGTGCTTTGAGTATGTCATCCTTTTGGGAGTAATAGTGCAGACGGCAGATTACGTCTCTTGGTTTGTCCGCTGGTGCACCTCTGGGGCGCAACGCTCTGTGCGCCCTATCAAACATGAGTGGTGTATCAGCTTGTTTTCCCATGAGGAGATTAAATATTTCTTGCAGTAGCTCTGTTAGATTTTCTGTGTCCTGTTCAGGTAGCCCTTTTAATCTGAGATTATTTCGTCTACCTCTGTTATCCATATCATCCAATGAGCGCTGTATATCAAACGCCTGTGCAGAGTGTGCTTCCATAACAGATTGCAAGTGTGACACTTGGAGTTGTATTGCATCCCTGTCATCCTCCAGTGCGCTCACTCTATCTTTAGTATGCCTTATATCAGCTCCCACACTTTCCAGTTTAGACTGAAATGCAGCTTCTAGTTTCCCCAGCATATTGGCTATGTCCTGCTTAGATGGTAGATTTTGTAGTATACCTTTCAGGTCTGGGTCTTGTAGTACCAGGGAGCCTGTAGATTCAGCTGGGCTAGAGGGAGGGGATGTAGTGCCTGGCGAGTCTGGCGCCATATTGGGGCCTACCATGCTTTCGTGAGCCTCCTTGGAATCCCTGAAATATTTTGTCAGGGCTCCGGTTTTTGCTGCCGCTGACCTCCCTGTCGTTCTCTGGGATGAGGGCGTGCGTTTGGGGTGTCCCATGTTTAAATGCTAGCCCGATGTCCGCGGATTGAGTGCCTTCCTCGCCGGAGCTCTGCTACTGTGCTGCCATTCCGGTTGGCAGTTGGCTCCGCCCCCACACATATAATTATTATTACTACCTGGCATCATTCGCTGGACTCCAAGCAATCCTAGGTGGGGATTATTCCACCAGTGCGAAATATCAGGAGCAGTTGACCTGCTCCTGTCTTGTGAGTATCCATTTTTATTTTATATTTGATTTTAAATTTTATGCAGAGAACACTATTGGCTGTCTCTTTTTATTTGAGCATCTCTTACACCACAGAAGGAGGAAATACGTGAAGGATAACCATTCCATATCCCATAAGCGGGGATCTAAACCGCTGTACGCCTTCTATACCAGAGCAGGTTCTAGCTCTTGGATATGTGAGTTTGCAATCAAGCTTTATATTTTATTTCTTTCACACTAAGATATACTACACCATTGTGGTTCTGTATTTGTTTTTATCTCTTACATACGAGACGGTCCACAAGAAAGACAGAGAGCAAGATTATTGTTTCGGACTAAGCACTACGAACATTGCAAGATAAGACCTTCTTTTCTTTTATTTATTTATTTTATCTGGACTTTTAACACCTTTTATCTAAGCGCAGCCCTTTTCCTGTATTCTTTGTGTTTTATCCTAAAGGGTTTTTGAGGGATTCCCTTTTAGGGTTGCTGCTTATTTGTGTTATTTAGCGCTTACTCATTGTTTTGGTTTTATAATGTTTTGTTTGGACAGCAGTGGCTTCCTCTGTGGTATCCTCCCATGAAATCCCTTCTTGTTTAGTGTTTTATGTATTGTAGATTCGCTAACAGGGATGTTAGCATTTGCCAGTGACTTTTGTAAGTCTTTAGCTGACACTCTAGGATTCTTCTTCACCTCATTGAGCAGTCTGTGCTGTGCTCTTTACAGGACGGCCACTCCTATGGAGAGTAGCAGCAGTGCTGAACTTTCTCCATTTATAGACAATTTGTCTTACCGTGGACTGATGAACAGCAGGTCTTTTGGAGATACTTTTATAACCCTTTCCAGCTTTATGCAAGTCAACAATTCTTAATTGTAGGTCTTCTAAGAGCTATTTTGTGTGAGGCATCATTCACATCACGCAATGCTTCTTGTGAAAAGCAACTGGTGTGTGTTTTTTATAGGGCAGGGCAGCTGTAACCAACACCTCCAATCTCATCT